CAGCTCCAGCTTAAACACGCACAGACATAAACACGCATAAGCGCACACACACATACACACACACACACATTACAGACCTAAACCTAAACACATATTATAGCATACACACATGCATAAGCCATAGGTACGTACACCTGCGTGTGTGCATGCGCAAGCGTATATACATACACACATACATACATTTTTATATTTATACATATACATTCAGATTTTTCAGTTTTGGAATCAGGTAAAGGCCCACGTGCAGGTCTAATATTGTTTTAGGTAATTCTTCGACCATGGCACAGGTTACGGCCTCGAACCGCTTCCTCAGAGGCCGCAGTCCTGTTTTAAACCTTACACTATCCACCAGGCATCCGTAATATACCCCTCAGATTTACATATCTGAGGAGAAGGCGCGGATGCAATAGCATACATTGCTACGGCGCTGTTGCGCTGCGGCAAGATTGCCCAGCGAAGGCCCTTGGCTGCCGTTCGCGAACGTAGAAGGGCCTCCGGCCGTACGACTGGGGGTGGCCTGTAAAAGGGCCAGCAGTGGTGAGTAAGCAGAAGATACATATACATTCATATAACTAGAAACAGTATCCGACACTTGTCAAAATACCTTCATTTGTCCAGCTATAGCAACTTTTCCGTTTTCTTTGACCAATGCTGCATTGCCAGATGATCAGCTTGCTGATGATCCTGAATGCCTCTTTGCAGAAAGACCTGAGTTTTTATTGGGAAATCAAGGACGAGTAAAGGGGGCATTTGCAGTTTGTATTTTTGATTGCACGCAGATAACTCGTGAAATGAAAGTGTTAATGATGAACTTATGTGTTTTTCAGTTCGATACAGATCACGACGGATACATAGCGACAAATCACCTGAGGCGACTGGTTCGCATCTCTGCTGTTTCCTTTGGATTATCAAAAGAGGAAGCGCACAGATTGCTGGAAAATGTCGACGCAAATCGCGATCATCTCATCGATTTTGCCGAATTCTGCACGCTGGTTTGTCAGCCATGCAGTTTTTTTTTCTTTTTTTTTTTGTTTTCTTTTTTTTTTAAAAAGTTGAGTTTCTCTCAAAATGATATGAGATATTAGTGTAGCCTGGTTTTTTATGGTTCTTGCAAAACATTTTTCTCCCTATTCTATAAATTTCCAGATAATTCCCCTTCTGAACAACAAAAGTTAGAAAGCTGAAAATTTTGGGAACATAATCTCCGAACATGAACAGATGGCGGTAACACGAAATCAGACCTCTGATTCCGGCGTACTCAGATCGAAGGGATTTTGCTGTTTGCAGGATAACTGAAATCTTAAAAATATGTATAATGTTACAGATGAGTAGGGCGAAAAAGTTACGAATGCGGCATGTGCTATTTCGTGCGGCGCAAATGGTGGTGCCGCGAAGCAGTCGTACAGTACCATTTAGCTATTTGCAGCAGTACAAT